CCTGTCTTGTTGTATATTTATTACTTAGTTAAAAACTTAAAATCAAGATTATACAGAATTGTATATTGATATCACCTTTGTAAAACAATAAAAATAGAAGCGTCACCAAAAGACGAAATAATAAATAAATTCGTAATGGCCATTAAAAAAAGACAAATTTTACTCATTATAAAGCAGTGAAGAGGCTTTATGAACAACGTGCCCAAATGATTGGAAAAGGGGGCTTTCGTCGGTTAAGCGGCCGGGATGTTGAAAGAGGTTCATGATCAGACAGACAGCTTGGAAGAGATATTGCCCCCTTGACCATGTTATAATGAGCTAAAATGAAGAGAATTTTCTTCCTTGAACATTTGAAAAATGAATTCACAACCTGACATTTGATATGCCATGCACCTCACATTCTGAGTCTGGTGTATAGATTGTGTGTAGACTCAAGAAATGATATTCCATAAACCACTATTGTTTTCTTTTCTTTTCAGTTGAGTATTTTAAGGATGGATGATTAGAAATTTAATTGTCATGCCATGATACATTTTCCTGTCATTTGTTAATTTCCTGTAGAAAATAATACTAATATACAATGAATTGGTTTGATTGGTACTTGCATTGTAGTAGTGTAGTTATACAGATTTTAGTTAGGGAATCATGGTCACACATACACACTTTTTGAAGTAAATTAAAATGAAATATTCAAAACTTAAAGAAAAAACAATTTATTTAACAAACTTTGCAAGGTATCACTCTCAATGTATTGAAAAACTCTTTTAAATTTAATCAACAAACAGACATTATTTTTTAACTATTTTATATTCTATTTAGAGTTAAATAAATAAATAAATAAATTGAAATATAAGAAAGGAGAAAGGTTAGAAACAAGTGTTAAAAGAAATTGTATGGGGTGGGAATCGAATGACACTCTCCGTTTAGTCTGAAAGTGCTTGTGAGTAGTGATTCGAAGTTTCACCGTGACTATGCCCTAACAATGACAAGTCATGATTCATGCGCTCAACCTTGCATATTTTGGTTCAAACATGTTCTAATCATCCTGTAGAATATGTTTGGACACACAAAAATAGTTAAGCATGTATAAATTAGTAGATTTGAATTTTCAAAACCCTACCCAAGCGGCGAGTGTGAGTATGATGATCTTGAGCGTGGAATTGCTTAGTTTTTGATCTGGGCGTGTTCATGGGAATGTCAGGATGATGGTTAAGATCTTGGTTTGGATTGAAAGCCAATGAAAAAAGGAATTCGAATATGCTCTAATTCTTGACTTTTTGGTGATTTTTTAAATTAGTTTTTGAGGTAGAATTTTGTGGTCCTCATCTTGGTTTGATGTTTGTCTATTTATAAGTCAATTATTCTAGGTCAACAAATGTGGTATAGAACCATATGTAATTATGACATGATTTCTTTCCAAAATCAATTAAAAACCTTCCAAAATAAGTGAAACTCTTCCCATATTGAGTCAACACAGTTTTGACAAGTTGGATATGTGTTCTTGGGCCTCAAATATGATCCAAAACCAAGCCCATATGTCTTGGTCCATCATTTGTTAATTTATTTAATTTATTTTATATTTAATTGAAATCAAAATAAATATAAATAAGTAAAAAAAAATCATGGTAAGATATGGATGAGTTTAGGAGTCCTCTATAAGGCCATGAACATGTTTAGACCTTAGAAGATAGGTCCACTAGCCACAATTTTAAAATTGCTCAATTGAGGTTTCATGTATTTTTCAAATATTTCTCAACTTGCACCAATCATATCTCACTCAGTTTTTGTCATATGAAAGTGATATGTGACTTCTTGGAAAGCTAAATATGTCCCCTATAACTCTCATGTTAGTCACTTTTTGATTTGATGTCTTTAACTTGATATAAATTGCTTTGACAAAAGATATCTTTTTGTTGACTTTCAAAATGACTTGTAACGTTTTGGCTCATATCTCTCAAATTAAGCATTTTTTGGACTTGAGCTAAGAGATACAAAGTTATAGAGAATTGAATTTAAATTAAAACGGGCTTTGGTTGATAATTTTTTGATGAAGCATGTGAAAGTTATGCTTGGTCAAAGTTCAGTTGACTTCTCCTAAAGAAAACCCTAATTTAGCAATTTTTGACTTTTGATGAATTTTGAGTTTTCTTGATGAATCATGATCAATCCTTGATTAAATGATGAATGTGACATCAAAATCTTGATGTTGACCAAAAATATTGAAGTTTGACTGTATGTTGACCATGATTGGCTTTTTTGTACAATACAGTTGATTTTCACTCATCTGAGCAATTGACTGAGCAAAATTGTGATGCAAGGCTTGAAACTTGTCATGAGAGTACCTTGAAACATATGAGAAACCATGAAACTCACTTGAGGCATTATAAACTCAATTTTCTTTGAGAAACACAAAGCTCTAATTGTAGGCCATTGCTTAGGAGAGATGCTTGTATGTTCAAACCATTGAGTATTCTTGAGCAATTGAGAATCCTAGGAGCATGAGGAGATGTCTTGTATCAATTATCTTCAAAAATGAGAGAGCAAATTTAGGGGTACAACAACATCCAACTGGATTTTTGTCTCTTTGCTTTTCAATAATCTCCCAAGTACCATTTTTTTCAAGTGCTCTCATATCCTCATCTATAGCTTGGACCGAATTTCTATTTTGCAATGCTTATTTAATGGATATTATGTGGAAAGATGTTTAGTGGAGACATATTGAGAGATAGGATGTCGATACATGGAGGGACAAGATCTTTTATCCTTCCTCAAAGCAATGGGTAAATCAACTAGATTAATTTTACAAGTATTAGAAATGGTATAATCATCATTGGGGGAATCATTTTCAGTACTTACCTTCAGTTCAGACGATTGAATTTGTTTCTATAGAAGGTAAGGTTTACTTCTTCTCTGATACAATAGAGTTGGTGATGGAGGTGCTGATTCTTGTGAAACAGAAGGCATTGAAGGACCAGAAACAATTATTGACTTAGATTCAGGTGTTGAACTAGGACTGAAACTCAAACTAGGTGACAACTCGGGTTTAAAAGAGGGAACACTGATAGGTGCTCTAGGGAGGCTATGACCAAGGATCAGAAACTCGGACTCAAACTCTAAGTCACTAATGTTCTCCCCCTGAGACTGAGAACGAGTGAAGTATGACACATTTTCATGAAAGGTTACATCCTGGAGACAAAGAATTTCTGACTCGGAGGATGATAACATTTGTACCCTCTTTTGTTGGGTGCATAACCTAGAAAGATACATCTGACAACACGGGGATCCAACTTATTGCGATATTATTTATGAACATGAACAAAAGCAACACAACTAAACACGCCAGACAAGCGTATATAAGATAGGAACAAACAGAAAATGTGAGAGTATAAATTGAGCAGGACTAGTATTACCTAACACTCGAGATGGGAACCAATTAATTAGATAGGCAACCGTAAGAACTACCTCCCCCAATAAGAGGTGGGAACATACATTTGAAAAAGGAGAGATCGAGCAACTTCAAGCAAATGACGATTTTTTCTTTCCGCGACACTATTTTGTTGTGGGGTGTCAACACATATGAATTCATGGAGAATGCCATGTTTACTAGTGAAGTTGGAGAAGGTATGATTAACATATTCTTTACCATTGTCAGAACGAATTATTTTTATACCTTTCCCAAATTGTGTTTCTACCATATTATAAAATTAGTTGTGGTACTTTAGATTTAGTATTCATCAAGAAAATCCAAGTTACCCGAGTACAATCATCAATAAATGAGACAAACCATTTTGCACCAAAAATATTAGAGGTAGAGGCAGATCCCCAAACATCAGAATGAATCACATCAAAAGTTTCAACACTTTTATTAAAATTGGAAGGAAAAGGTACACGATTATGTTTTGCCAACAAACAAAATCACACTTAAAAGACTCAACATATGGTGTAAGAATAATGACGGAAACATAGACTTAATTATATAAAGTGAAGGATGACCGAGACGCTTGTGCTGAAGCCAAATTTGTGAGGCTGAAGAGGAAGACTGAGGCTGGAGACAGGAGGACAACACCTTTGGATGGTAATCAGAGAAGTAGTATAACCCTTCCTTTTCCTTAGCAATTCCAACCGTCTTCCCCGTGGTAAGGTCCTGAAAAACATAATGGGATGTAAAAACAATTACTTTACAACTCTGATCACGGGTAAGCTTATGGATGGAAATTAAATTGTGGGAAAATATGGGAACATGAAGCACAAATTGCAACTGGAATGGAGGTTGGAAGTTAATATTTCTAGTCCCAACAACACAAGCATGAGAGCCATCAGCAACAGTGATATAAGGAATACTCGACGGTGTGGTATAAGAGCATAATAATATGGAATCAAATGTCATATGATTAGTAGCACTAGAGTCAAGAATCCACACATTCCTAGGGATATTACCACAAACAGTGAAAGATCGAGAACACAAACTCTTACCAGTAACTACTAGAGACCCAGAACCAGAAGGCTTACTCATGGAGTCAAGCATAGACTTCAACCATTCCATATCATTCTGACTGAAGGAGGAAAGATCAGTTCCCCTTTTTTCAAAGCTTTCAATACCATGGACATGTGTAGCAATATGTGCCTGATGTTGGTGAATGTTACGAGAACCTCCTCCTCAACTAAGAACCTGCTGCCTCCCATATAGTTTGAAACACCTATCCTTTATATGCTTCGATCAGTTGCAATGCTCACAACAGAATTTATCACGACCATTCTTGGATGATAATGGTGGTGGTCCTTGTCTTGTTGTTTTTCTAGCTACTAATGCTGACACATCCGGGGGATGTTCATGAAGCATAGCTTGACGACAAGTCTCCTCACTACGAGCAATATAAAAAACTTCATTAAGATCAGGAAATTTTTCCTTACCCAAAATCTGCACCTGAATAGGGTCAAATTCAGTATTAAGGCCTGCTAACAAATCAAAGATCTTATCCCGCTCAACAACAATATTCAAGGTGGAAATATCCTTGCCGAACTCCATCTTCAAATTATGATGTTGATCCAACTCAATCCAAAAACCATTGAGAACTCCAAAATAATCATTGACCGAAAGACTTCCCTGCTTAGTGTTGAAGATTTTTCTCTTTAAATCATAACAAGAAGACATATCTTGTTTCATGGAATATCTGCGACAAAAGTAATCCCAAACCGCCTTTGCCATTGAGAGATACATGCAATTTCTACTGATTTATGGAGATATGGAGTTCCAAAGCCAAGTAATAATAGCAGAATCATCTTTATCCTAGGAAGGGAATTTAGGAGCAGTAAAAAGAGGAGGATTGTCTTCAATATGATTAAGCATGTCACACATTTTAGAGTGTGTCTGATGAACTGAGACCATTGAAAACAATTTTTACCGGTAAGCCAGTAACCTTTTTGAACGAAAAAATCCTTAAGATTAAATGGGGATGGTGGATTTATGGGAGGTGTAGGCAGAGGTAGATGTTCGTTAATAATCTCAGCCATTGAAGGGACAATCGATAGGAATAAATAGCAAATATATATTGAATCACAAAGAAAAACACAAAGTACCCCAAATCCGAAGTATGTCTGATCGTTATTTTGATCACAAAAATAGAATCATGAAGGCTATATGATGAAATTGGTAAATTTTGGTGGTGATTGTGACGATGATGCGCGTGGATCTCACTTACCGGTACAAAGGACGGAAACAATGTTTGCTGCGTCGGACTCGTCTCAACAAGATGATGATGGTGAGTTGATGACAAAGAAAAACAAACAGTGTAAAATTGTGAAGATGAGTGAACATTGAGAGAGAGAAAACTCCGCTACAAGGGCTTCTAGGGTTTATGCGGAAGTGAGACGCCCAAAATTGGGAACTCGTGATACCATGTTGAAAAATATTTCACTGAAATAGCAATAGTTGTGCATATAATGTTGCAACTACATGCTTAAATAAGAGAGAATAGAAAACCTAACGGGCTTTGACTAATAGGCCTCATTTACTAATATTACCAATTACTATTTACAGTCTAATATTTATAACAAGATGTATTCAAGCAAATCATGCAAGTAGTCAACAACCAAAAGGGAGGCATGTTTTTTTGTATGGATATGGCGGCACATGCAAAATGTATATGTGGAGAACTTTAGCTTCTTACATAAAAGATCAAGGAAACAAATATGTTTGACAATTGCTTCATCTGATATCTCATCACTTTTACTTTCTGGTGGTCGAATGACACATTCGAAATTCAAGATTCCAATTCCTATACTCGAGTCTTCAACATGTGATATATGCAAAAGAAGTGACCGCAACGACCTATTAAAATTATCAAAATTGATAATTTGGGATGAGGCTCAAATGACTCACATATTTTGTTTCGAAGCATTGGATAAAACCTTCAGAGACATCATGAATGAAGCCAAATCATCTGACCGAATGTTTGGAGGCAATGTAATTGTTTTTGGTGGCGGTTTCCGGAAGATTCTACCAGTAATACCAAGAGGAAGCCGTTTAGATATAATTCATGCCACAATAAATTCGTCATACATATGAGATCATTGTGTCATTTTAAAATTGTGTAACCGTAAATCTTAATATCATACAACAAAAAAAATAATTAACATAAACCATATTCATCTCTTGATAATACATTAATCATGCTTTAGAAACACATGAGAGGATGCAATATCAGCCATAACACACTAGGTCTTCTGCAATTTATACATCACAAAATGACATCCAAAATTGCTTTAATATAACCCCTAGGAAACCAGAACATCCCAAATTATATTGAAAACATAAAATATACGAATTACTAAAACATAAAATCCACACTACTTAAAACCTTCTTTACATAGTCAACATATTATGGTTGTACCCTCCCATCATTTCTTCTGCAATGTTACATACAAATACGGAGTAAAACGACCCATTTGACAAACCAATGTGTCTCCATTTCTAATACCTTTAGTATTCACAAAGTCATACCATCCTTCAATCGTGTACTTCTCAAGTTTTTTTCAAGTCAACATCAACAACTGTGATCTCCCTTTGATCTCTTCTGAAGCATTGTTTAGATATTTCTCTTAAAAAATGCTGCAACAATAGAAACATGCTATAATGGATTAGTTTTGCAGAACAAAATTGTTGGAATAACACAAAAATACATCCAATGAATTACATAAACATTTGTTCCCTTGGTTTTGGGATTCTCTATTGCGATATTTTAGCGATATATTATCTTTCCCTCAATCCATTCTGTTCTAACTCTGTATGGATTTTTTGTATTCTTCATAATTTTCAATTGTCCTTTCTTATTCTCAACAACTGTATGTTTCTTCTTCAAGTTTTGTTTCTGATTTGCACTTACTATTGTAACATCATAAGTGTTCTTCTTTCCAAAGTAGGATCTAATACCTCAATAGTTCTTCGATCTTCAGCGACGTTGACTGTTTTCTTACCAACCGTATTACAATGACCATTCTTCTTAGATTTTTTCTTTTTGGATGAACTCTTTCCAACCTCATCCACAATCAAAACGAAACAAAATTAGAGTTCTTTACCTCATGCTATCTGAACCGTTCTCCCAATTGTGTCCCCTGCAACCAGTCTTTCGCCCATTCACATAGTTTGGAGAAAAGAAGGTGCAATGGAAGCAATGAACGAGAGAAGATAATTATATTGTTTGTGTGTCGGCGAAACGAATTGTAGAATCAACGCTTACGTGATGATATGGGAATGTGGACAGATTAGTTTATTTGACCCCTTTCATGTTTTTATTGGGCCTTCACTTTTCATGGGCCTTTGGAAAATGGTAGAAATTTCTACAGAGAAATTAACATGTCACCCTCCATATTATACATGCCACTCCTCAAATTTCATTATTTCAAAATACTCATTTTATTATTTACTTTAAATTTTTTATTTTTATAATTTTTTTTTTACTATTGGTCAAAGGAGATAAAAATAAAAATTTTCGGTACCGAGTTTTGTCGTATATCAGAAATTTTGTACATTCTACAAATTTCTGTTTGTCATTTACCGAAAATTTTGAAATTTCCAGTTGCGATTTACCGGAGATTTTAAAATTTCCGTAAATTTTACAAAAGTCATTACACGTACCGAAAATTTGGAAAGTTTCTGGTAGAAAACCTTTACCGAGAATATCGAATTTTCGGAGTACTAGAAATTTCAGTTATACTTGAAAATTTTGGTATGTTTGCTGAAAAAGTTTTATATCTTTGCGATCCTGAATCGGCAACTTCAGCTTCTACCATGGATTCATGTACTGATCTTTAGCAGTTCTTCATCACTATACTGTATGTTTTCTATTTAATTTACATATTTTTTGTTGTAAATTGATGAAATTTACTAATTATATGTTATTGTAATTGTCAGATTTTTGAATCACGAGATAAGGTTTTAGATTGAGCACAATCTACTGGAAAAAATCATGGTATTATTGTTGTTACAATTCAGCCTGGTTCTGCAAATGGACTGCGAGGGAGGAAGGATAAATTGATTATGGGTTGTGATAAAGGAGGAAATTATAAAAAGAAAAATGAATGTGTGAAACCTTTTGATGACAATTATACTATGAAGGTTAGATGCCCATTTAGGATGAGATCTGTTCCAAGTGGTATCGGTTGGAAGGTAATGGTTAGATGCGGGATGCACAATCATAGACTAGGTAAGGATTTGGAAGGTCATGACATATTGGACCGTCTAGAAGATTATGAAAGAAAGTTTGTGAATGACATGACGAAGTACAACGTGGCATCAAGGTACATCGTGTCTGCTTTGAAATACAAAAGATGAGTTTGATGTACATCTCAACCACTTCGAGAGTGTTTGTGGTGATATTCCATCATTTGTCAAGTATGTGAAATAAACATGGTTAACACCATATAAAAAAATATTTGTTGCTGCATGGACTAACAAAATCACTCATTTAAGGAACACACAACAAACATGTACATTAGACTAATAAAAAATATGTTTATGTTTAAATATTAATTTGAAGGTTGTTTAGATAATATGTTCATGATTTCTAGGGTGGAGTCTGCACATTGGAAATTAAAGAACTTGTTGACTACAAGTCGTGGTGATTTATATTGAAGTTGGGATGCTGTGAACACAATATTGAAGTTGCAGCTAGGTTCCATCAGAGTGTCGTTTCAAAAAAGTATCGCCAACATTGAGCATTTGTATAACACCACATTCTATTCTAAATTACACAATTTTGTCTCAAGACAATGTATATAACTCATTGGAAAGGAACTAGAAAGAGTAAAATTTGTTGGTGCAAGCAAGGTGAGATGTGGTTGTTACATTAGAACAACACACATGTTACATTGTGTGTGTCAGCTTTCCGGTTTCCAAATTATAGGCATCCCTATACCTTTGGAATCAATTCATGTATTTTGGACAAAATTGAACATTTCAAAACATGATGTGAGTCCTAATGAGAGTAAGTGGGATTTATAAGAAGAGTGTGAAAAGTTGAAGAGATATTCCAGTACTTTGGATATTATGGGTCAGAGGGTGTTGGAGAAAAAAGTACATGATTTAACCTATCCGTCCACAACTTCAATGTGTCCACTGGCAGTGAAATACAAGTCAAAGAGGGGAGTTAAGAAGAGTAGAAATGACAAGGAGGGTGATGTGAATCATGATCCTAGTCAGTGGAAATATGATGATTCTTTGCATGAGAGTCAGACTACAAAGAGATCATGCACAAAACCAAGTGGAAGTCAATCATTAACCATGTCGATTGGTAAGCAACCTTCTATCAAATCTGCAAGAGTTGAGTACTTGTAACAATTTCCTGCTTTCTTTCATCCATACATCAATGACATTATTGATGTTGATAATGATGGATACTGTGGTTTCCATTGTATTTCAGCTTCATTGGGATGGTGGGAATATGCATGTTATTCGGTTCAGAAGCAGTTGGATACTCAAGTCCATCAACACGTTGACTTGTTTTCTAAGTTGTTCTATGACATTGTCTCTGATGTTAGAACTTCGTTACAAGTAAAACACTTGGGTGTCCAGAGTAGGGAGAAATGAATATCGACTCCTGATATGGGGTATCTTATTGCTTCTAGATATAGTGTTGCATCTGTTTCCATTTCCATGAAACTTAACATAACATTTTTCCCACTTCAAATAGCTCCAACCCCGCTGATAACACATAAATGTAT